CACAACATCTCAAGTTTTCTTTGGTACCCAAATTTGTTTGGGTCCTTGAGCATTAGTATAGGCTGTCTTAACAAAATCTCTTCTAACAGGTCTCCAGACCTTAGGACATTCATTCTCAAAATGTTGTGGATCTCCACATTTTGAGCACTTGAGTGCACTTCGACCAACAGGTTTTACAAAATTCCTTTTGAAATGATTTTTATAAGCTTGTCGAGGAGGTCTTTGTTTTAATCTCTCCTTGACCTTTGGAAAATCAATCAAGCTATCACTTTCCTTCACAAATCCGAGACCAGATTTGTTGTAGTAAGGAATTTGGATAGAAAGGATATGCTTCAAGGTTTCTGAACCCTTTGAAAATTTGGAAGTAATTTCTGAAACTTGCTTTTTCAAAACTACATTTTCTTTGGAAAGAAAATCTCGACTTTCCTTGACTTGATGAAATTCTTTTTGAAGGAAATCGATTTTTTCTTTTTGTGAAACATCCTGTTGCCTCAGTGATGAATTTTCCTTTTTCAAAGAAGAGATGCATTTAAGAGCAGTCTTGAATTCAAAGCATAATTCATCAATGTAATTTGATACCTCAATAGGCATGTCAGAATGTTTTACCTCAATTTCCACTTTGGGATCGGGAATCGAATCGAGTCCGAGTCGACTTAGCCATTAGACGTAAATCTTCATCACTGTCTTCACATTCCGTGTCACTCCGGTTTCGCTTTTAAGGCCTTCTTTGCTTTCTCAAACTTGGTCTTTTTCGAAGTGGACAATTTGGCTTGATATGTCCACGTTTCTTACAGTGAAAGCATATAACATCCTTCGATCTTTCTGTCTCATCGAAAGATTTCTTCTTTTCAAAAGGCTTCTTTCCCCTGAGGTTTCTTCCTTTGATCTTCATTTTCTTATACTTCTTTATAAATAGAGCTAGTTCTTCATCATCAACGTCTTCATCTTCAGAATCTGCATCAGAATCAATGTTAGTCTTCAAAGCAATTGATTTATTACCTTTGAATTCAATCTCCTCATTTCGTTTCTCAGTCTCATATGATTGAAGAGTTCCAATTAACTCATTCACTGATAGAGGCTTGATCCTTTGTGTCTCTCGAAGAGATGTTTTGATGTTGTCCCACTGATTTGTCAGTCCTCTCAGAAGTTTGTTGACTTTCATTGCATCTGGAACTGGTTGTCCTTGATAAGCAAGACCGTTTACTATATCAGTAAACCTGTCATATAAATCAGCAATTGATTCTCCAGGCTTCATTTTGAAAGATTCATATTGACCAAGCAGAAGATTAATTTGAGTTTCCTTGGCTCGATCTGTTCCTTCATAAGTAATAAGAAGAGTATCCCAGATTTCCTTAGCTGATTCACAAGCAGCAATTTTTTTATATTCAATAGGTGATAAGGCACAATAAAGAGAATAAATTGCTTTGGAATCTAAGGTTTCTCTTTTGGATATCTCAGTTTGAGATAATGGAGGATCTGCTGCTTTGCTTGCATCTGCCTTTTCTTTTGAATCAGAAGACTTTGGATTGACACCTCTGATGATGACATCCCATTGCATGTGATCAATTGACTTTATGAATGCCTTCATCTTATTCTTCCAGACACTATATTCCTTGCCATCGAAATATGGTGGTCTGTTGTTGCTCTGTCCTTCAATGAGCCCTGGAGCACCATAGCTAGCCATATAGATCGTTAGCTCAGAAGTAAGACACTTCAATAAATGAGCAACCTGCTCTGATACCAATTGATGTAGCTAGCAAGGATCACCTAGAGGGGGGTGAATAGGTGATCTAAAACAATTTTTAGTAATTTATGCGGAAACGAAATAAATCACAGAAGAGTCTGAATAAAGTTCAGATTCAAGACAGATTATATAGACGGTGCTCTTGATGTGCAGAATGTAAAGTAAGAGATAAGGGAAAGAGAATCTGCACACAAGTTTATAGTGGTTCGGCTTATAGCAAGCCTACGTCCACTCTCCCACGCTCTACCTACCGGGCCGGATTTCACTATGTAATCAAGAGGAATTACAACTTCTGAGTGTTAACACTCTTGTGTATGATAGGACTCTCTATCTCACACAATTACTCTTACAAAGTGTCCCTCAAGATCTTAATATTTGGCTCAGAATGACAAGAGAAAAATGATTGGATTAAGCTCGGACTTTGGACTTGTTGATTCTTGATTCAGACGCCTTCTCGCTGCTCGTTGATCTCCTTAAATACTCCTCTGCTTCCAAACTAGCCGTTGGACAGCTTTCAGAGGATCATCTTCCAATCTTTACCTTGGACAGATTTGTATAGTAAGAAATTGAGTAGCCATTGGTTGACAGATTCTGAATCCCGCTGATTATGGTCGCCCATACAATCAGAATCTTGGTTTCCATAAGTAGAACTTTGTCCGTTGTAATGCATTCTTGTCATGATGTTTGATTGTCAATCAGTTTGATTCAGATTGAGACAATCAGAACATTCCTTCTGTGAAATCCATGCCAGATCACTAGCTGTTGTGTTACGTTCTGAATTTTGCGTCTGAAGATATTCTGCGTCTGCATCAGAAGAACTCCTGCGTCTCGCGTCCCGAAGAATTTCTGCGTCTCGAATAATTTCTTCTGCGTCCGACGAATTTCTTCGTCTCGAATAATTTCTTCGCCCGCATTTGCATCTCGAATAACTTCGCATCCGCATCCGAATATCTTCGCTTCGAATCTCGTAACTTCGATTATGTGGGTTTTCAAAAATATACTTGACAGCTTGTAAAGTCTGAATAACTTTCTTCTGAGCTTCCAGAATATACATACCTGGAATAATTCAGAATAAGTATCAGATTTACAATAACATAGAAGGTTTTGTCAACTTCAAAATTAATAGGAGTTTTCCTCAACAACAATGAGGGTGGAATTCAGAATCCAGGAAAAAGCAGCATACTTTGGTTTCAACTTTCTGAAAGATGATTTCCCAATTAAACGTGGCAATTTGCATCATTAAAGATGCTTTGACACGAGACAAATCAACAGTCCTTCAACTGTTTGAAGGTAAGGAGGGCAGTTGGTTCAGCCACCAAGTCTCTCTTCTATGGTCAGAATTGTAAGATGGTACTTGGTTCATCCATCCTCCGCCAAGTCTCCCTTCTATGGTCAGAATTGTAAGACGTAAGATGGTACTTGGTTCATCGATCGTCCGCGGTTCATCCATCGTCCGCCAAGTCTCTCTTCTATAGTAAGAATTGTAAGACGGTACTTGGTTCATCCATCATCCGCCAAGTCTCTCTTCTATGGTCAGAATTGTAAGATGGCACTTGGTTCATCCACCAAGTCTCTCTTCTATGGTCAGAATTCAACGCTCTGAAAAGATTCTAGTCGCAGCTCTCAACCCAAATTTGGTAGATTGTATATCAGAATCTGGGAGCCAAACGAGTGACCTACGGTAGTAGCTGCATATGCCTACGATAGTTGCTCTTTCTCGTCGCGTGGAACTCGGCGATGAAAGAGACCGTACTTAGACACCCCATAGATTCGCTCATCACACATTCAACTGTTTGAGGTAAGAAGGCACTTAGTTCATCCAGTCTCTCTTCTATGTTCAGTATCAGAGGCACCAGATAATGCTAATCACAGCTCTCAATCCAAATTGGTAGTCTGTATATGAGAATTCTGGAGCCCAACGAGACACTTGTGGTAGTTGCTGCATACGCATAAGCTCGCCGAGGATAGTTGCTCCGTCTCATCGCATGGAACTCAGCGATGAACGTCGAGATATTAGTGTGGCTGTGATAATAGTGTCACAATGCTTAAGTTTTTTTCTGTCGAAAGTAAATATTTTATTCATATCTCAAGATTTTAAGATGATATTTAGACCTGTTAAACGGGTGGGTCGGGTCGGGTCGGGTTTGGGTCCGATCATAAATGGTCCGACTCAAATTGATCCATTAATCCGTTTATGACCCATTTATTTATAATATAAATATCCCGACCCATACCCGATCCAACCCATATTGCTAAAACACTTCTATATTTAACTCAATATAGGAAAAATTATTTCTTATGACTTTTTTTAAAAATTATACTACTAAAACATTTTCATACAATACAATTTTAAATTTAAATTTATTTAATTTTTTTTAAAATCCAATTTTTAATTAATTTTAATTTTTAAATTTTTCCTTTATTTTTGGCTGGTGGTCGGCCACAACAACGGCTGGCATCCGGCCACCAACCACAGGTGAGGACGAGCTCGCCGGAGGCCGGCGAAGCTCGAGCTCGCTAATCTGACGAGGCTGAGGCCTCGCCGGCCTCGAGCGAGCTCGACCACGCCAGATCTGGCAAGGTCGAGATCGCCCGAGGCCGGCGCGGCGAGACTCGAGCTCGTCGGAATCGGGCGAGCTCGGCCTCGCTGGCTTGTGGCAAGATGCGAGCTCGCCGACCTCGAGTGAGCTCGAGGTCGCCGATCTGGCGAGGCCAAGCTCGCCCGATTCCAGCTAGCCTAAGGTCTCACCGACCTGTGGCGAGGCCATTCCTCCCCTGTGGCCGGTGGCCAGCCGAAAAGAGAAAGAGAAAAAAAAGAAAAAAACGAAAAGAAAAAAGAAAAATAAAAAAATTCGATTTTTAAAAAATGTATTTTTATAAAAAGGGGGTGAGCTTAATGAGTGGGTTTGGAAATGGGTTCCACACTCAACTCACCCATTTATGATAGGCTTAAAACTTTAAAACCCATTTAAGATGGGCTCTTCAAAATTGTATTGACCCATTTAACAGGTCTAAGATACATAAGACCTTCAAAACAACGCAAATCCCAAACAGCAAAATAAAACAATAAAGCACAAATTGCTATGATAAGCACATTCTCATTGCACAAGAACTAATATGTCTCGGCATAAAAAAATAGAACAAACAACGGCCGATCACCGAATAACTTTTGAGCACACACCGTAATCTCCTTCTCCAATAACTACGGCTTGCCCAATGGATGGTGCATGCTTAGATTCAATGTCCTCAACACAGAGACACCAAAAACATGTTGAACAAGCTCCCAAATCTAGATCTAGATCGGGAGAGATTGAATGAACATAGATGCGTCTCTAAGGAACTCCCACATCTAATTGTAGATTGGGAGATAAGAGCTCCCAGATCAAGATTTAAATTGGGAGATGAAAGTTTCCAAAACTCAAAAAATTCGTATAAACGTTTTCAGTGTAGTATGAAAACACCATAATCCTCCTTGATCCTGTCAGACTCTTGGTTTGGAGGATCTGAAGCAGCAACTTGATTCCTAACAATGGAAGGGGAAGATACACATAACGAGCAGAGAAGAGTATCAAAAGTGAGCAAAGAAAAAACAAAAAAACTAAATAAGAACAATAAAAGACTCTCAGATCAGATGAAGAGAGAAAATCTCAATTCGAATTGAAGATGGAGCCTCCTCGACTGAGAGCTTAAGTTTGACCTGCGCAATGTAACATGTATCATAGCGATCAGTTTGGCAATCTAAATACCCCTTTGAACAAAATGAGAGAGAGGGAGGGAGTTCACTTCCTTCTTCACCGTGGATAGTCCTGCCATCACACAAGCTGCAGAGACAATGGCAAGAAACGTGCCCAGAGGAACCCTTTTCAAGTGACGGGCCATACCAAGCCGGCGCCCATTGAGCCAGGCCTAGAACCACCTCTACCACACGCCAAGCGGTGCAACCATGCAGGCCAACCACAGCTTGGGCTCGCCGGTTCCTCTGCACAATTCCGTCCTCACAAATCTCCCGCTCAAAGCCCATAGAGAACCCAGCAACAAAAGAATTAGCACTGTCCCCACCAATTCACACCCAAAACTTTGTCCTTCATTTGCTGCAAGGCTGGGAAATGCCGGTTCAAGGACTTATGAGAACCCTTTTAAAGAGCCATCTGAAACCTTTCGCCGTCTCTACCCCAAAAACCATGGAATAAGCTGCAAGAAACAGACCTGAGAGGAGCGAAACCACAACATAAGAGATTCTTGTACTCAATATCATCCTGCAATTTATCGTAAAAAAATGAGACATACAGAATTGTGGTGATCAATGAAATGTTGTAGCCTCCTAGGGTGTACAAAACGGACTGCCCAAACCCGAAACCGTCCCAACCGGACCGGATCGGCCTATTTGGTCTAGTTCCCGGTTCCTAAAAGTGGAAACAATGTCCGGATGGTCCGGCTCCCGGTTCCAAAGGGAACCGGACTGGATCGGACTGATTATATATACTTTTTTTTCTTTTTTTCTTCAAAAAAATTAGTAAAATGTGAACTAAACTTTAAATGAAGCACGTTTTTTTATTCATCTTTCCAATTTGAGGATCATTGCATGAATATCACTTAATTTAACATGAAAAAATGGCATCAAGTAGTGGAAAAAAAAAGTGATTGGTTCCATTAGACCGGATTAGACCGGGAACCAATCACCCCTACAAACTCTTGGTGTCTATCACCAGGTCAGAATTGGACCAATAACCCAATTTTGGTCTACACCGGTACCATAATATCAGGTACTGGTCATATTATATTCATTAAACATGTGGAGTTCATTGTTGTTGCTTCTTGAAGCCATTTATAAGCTTTCTGTTCGTAAAATTCTAAATCCAAATGAACGTGTCAATAAACTGTCTCACAGAGATTGATTATTAGTAAACCAATTAAATATTAAAAATGGACTAATTCTAAAATTTATCTAACATATTATAGTAGAATTGAGAATAAATGAAAATTGACTAACTTAGAAACAAAATTTCGATACTAAAGGCAGTTAATCAATCAAATAATATATTAGAACATCCGATTTTACCATAACCACTACATATTAATTTCAGATCATTATGTATACAAGAACATTATCAAACATGTGACAGCAGAATTTCTTAGTCTATTTATTATTATATCTCTAGGTATAACAAACCTACTCAGTTTATCAATCCACCATATCTCTATGTGAATTTAAATAAACATGAGTGCATTAAAATATGTGAATATTCCCGGTTAACAATGAATCTTTTGGACTACCTTATCATCGAAAGCCACACAAATAACATGGTATACCTCTATTCACATTTAATTCATGGTTATATATTATAAGGAGTAATTACATATTGTCACTTCTCAGTCTCAAATATGCACATTAGATCATTCAAATGGTGGCCAGTCACTTAAATACATTAAGCACAATAATATATAACTTACATGAATGAAATCACTTATGGAACATAAAAAGTATAAAATTCATATTATCATAGTCAGGCTACATCATAGCCCTAACAAAAGAAAATTAGAACATAATAGAAGAAGAAACGAAAATATAAATTGAACCCAACATCTTGAATCGAAGAACAAGAATTCTGTCACCACTGTCTTCTCTTCAAAATACTTGAAAAACTCCTAAAACAATGAAAAAAATAACAATAAAAAAATTAGCCGTCTCCTATGCTCTCAATTATTTATAAGATAACATCAAAGACTCCCAACACAAGACAATTGCTTATTTTTCGCATAAAATTAGAGAATAAATCGTAGAATTCCTGATTTGGCATCCACTTTCTAACTCTTCTCTAGGTAGCATCTTCATTTCCTTCTTTTTGCCATTTTTCCTTATTTCCTCCATATCTAATTATTCTGCATAAACAAGGAAAATTTGAGTACATAGAGAGAAATCTAAATATTTTCTCACAAATATTGCATTATTTGTTACCTAAAATAAATAAAATAACTCTATTTTTATAGAGTTATCACTTTCTAATGTGCCCGACGTGAAGGACTAACTGACCTACCTATGAGGAACCCCAGAGAACACCCACTGGCCATTAAGGGCGCGCATGGTAACATTTCTATTCTAGAAATCAATTTCTGGCCAGAAATAAATTTTTCTATTTCTATTTCATGGACGAGTTTCTGAGCAAAAATGTGTGTTTGATAACGACACAAAATTTCTGTTTCCGAAATAGAAATTCGTTTGATAACAATACAAATTTCTATTTTCCGGAACAAAAATCTATTCTTTTAGAAATGGAATAAAAAAATTAGAAAATCTGGGAAAATTCCTAAAAATCTAAAAAAAATTCAGAAAATCCATAAAAATTGAAAAATTCCACAAAAATTCATTAAAATTTCCAGAAAATAAAAAAAAAGTCAGATTTTGGGAAAATAGGAAATTTGTTGAATTTTTTCCAAAAAAAATTAAAAATTTCAAAACTTCACAGAATGTCTTAGAATACCTGTGACTACTCACTTTGAGTGAAATTTAAATTTTTTGAGGTGCCCAAAAAAATTAAAAAATTAAAAAAAATTAAATTTCACTCAAAGTGGGTGGCCACAGGTATTCTAAGTCATTCCGTGAAGTTTTGAAATTTTTTAAATTTTTAAATTTTTTTTGGGCACCTAAAAAAATTTGGATTTCACTCAAAGTGGGTGGCCATATGTATTCTAAGCCATTCTATGAAGTTTTGAAATTTTTTATTTTTTAATTTTTTTGGGCGCCTCAAAAAATTTAAATTTCACTCAAAGTGGGTGACCACAGGTATTCTAAGCCATTCTATGAAGTTTTGAATTTTTGAATTTTTGATTTTTTTGGCACATCAAAAAATTTAAATTTCACTCAAAGTGGGTGGCCATAGGTATTCTAAGCCATTCTGTAAAATTTTGAAATTTTTGATTTTTTTGGAAAAAATTCAACAAATTACCTATTTTCCCGAAATCTGACTTTTTTTATTTTTTGGAATTTTTTATGAATTTTTCTGAAAATTTTCAATTTTTATGGATTTTCCAGAATTTTTTTTGGGTTGTGGCCGGCTGACGGTGGCGGGAGGCGGTTGGTGGCCGGCGGTGGCAGGAGGAGGCCGGCGGCAATAGTGAGCGGCGGCGGGGGTGGCCGGCTTGTAGCGAGGGCGAGCGATGAGAAGAGTTGCTAATTTCTAATTTCTGTTTCAGAAATAGAAAAGTAGATTTTTTTAACTTCTGATTTCTGTTTCAAACCTATTTCTAGAATAGAAATTTGTTTCAAAAATAGAAAAATGAAATTGCGTTACCAAACGGATTTCTGTTCCAAACCTATTTCTGGGAACAGAAAAACAGAAATTATCACTATTTGGCAAGTTATCATGCGCGCCCTAACAATTCTCAGATCAAGCATTTTCTGGTTCTAGCCACTAAAAGTAGTGAGGCGTCCTAAATAGCCTGCGGTAAGGGTGAGCATGGTCGAGCTTCTACCCTGGAACCTGAGAACCCGATCAATGGGAACTTGTAGGTTTCAGGTTTCAAAATTTGGAGAACCTGTTTCGACAAGTAGATTCCAGGCTCTAGGTAGGTGGAACCTAGAACTTGAAACCTGAACAAGTTTTTCTATGTTTTCTCTTAGTCTATATCTTTGCGTGATCCTGCTGTGTTTCATGGTATTAGATGATGAGTATATAATCTGGAACCATTAGTCTGAGCTTTCATTTTATGACTTGTTAATGTTTCATATTCTTCGTATGTCTAAATATAAGTTGTGGTTAGTTGATTATAGCAGTAAGTGATGATCATTAAAGATAATGATTTATTACAATTGTTCAATTAATAATATAGGTGGAACTTGAGTAGACTCTGGAACCGACCCTCGAACCTTGATAGGGTAGGTTGCAAGTTCCAAAAAATGAGGAACCTATTATCATGGGTGGAACCTATACATAATATGGATCTGCTCACCCCTAGTATCAATTCACGCAATGACTTTTCATTTTAGTTATATTTATTTGAACCGTAATATCACGAAAACTAGTCTTTTGTATTCTTTTTGATGAATGACAAGTTTGTTCAGTATTGTTGCGTTTATTTTCGATTTGATGAAATAAAAAAAAGAACCTGTTAGACCTTGGAACTTACCTTGAAACCGGTGACAGGATAAGTTCCAAGTTCCAGCTTCTGACGAGTAGGTTCTAGGTTCTAAAAGTTGAGGAACCTGTACCTGAGGGTAGGTTCCAAGTTTCAGGTTCCATGTGGAACCTGCAAGGAATCTAGAACCGCTCACCCTTAGCCCGTGGTTAAGCCAACGGCGAGGCTATCCAAAACACGAGAGATATCACCCTTGAACATAACGCCACACCACCCCATATAAAAGGGGAAATTATAAATAAGGGCTTGAAGTGCCATCATTTTCTTAAATAATAGCTTAAAGTAGACTTTGTGTCAAATAAGGGTCTGAAATGCCATCGTTTTCTCAAATAAGGGTATGAAGTTAATTTTGTTTCAAATAAAGTTCTGAAGTGGCTATATCTGTTTCAAAGAAGGCCTTCGTCTTTCAACTTTTTTTTGAATTTTTTTTTCCATTTTTCTTTTTTTTTTCCTGATTTTCTCTTTGTTCTTCGCTAGTGATCGGTCGCTGGCCATGGGCTAGGGTCGCCTCGCCAGCTACCGGCGAGGGGTGGCTAGCGAGACCCTCGCTTAGGCGAGGCCAGCCCTCGAAAGGCACAAGCGAGGTCGTCCCTTGCCGGCAGCTGGTGAGGCGACCCTCACCTAGATCTTGTGAGGGTGTCCCTCGCCGGTCATGGGCTAGGGTCGCCTTACCGGCAGCTGGCGAGGCAACCCTCACCCAAATCTAGAGAGGGCCGGCCTTGCCCATGGCTGGCGAGGGCGTCCCTTGCCTGTTGCCAGCGGGGGTGGCCCTCACTAGATCGGGCGAAGGCAACCCTCGCGGAGCCCTTTCCGGGTTTCGTCCGGTCACCGGCCACCGGCGAAGAACAAAAAGAAAACCAGATGAAGGAAAAAAGAAAGAAAAAGGAAAAATGATCGACAAGGTCATACCCTTATTTAAAACTGCAATGACCACTTCAGATCTATATTTGAGATCAGCTCTTACTTAACACAAAATCCATTTCATGCCTTTGTTTAAGAATACGAGGACACTTCAAAATTCTTATTCGGAATTTTCTCCGGAAAAAAACCGCAAGTCCCGAGGAGTTATGTAAAGCCGATAAAAGTGGGATTTAAGGGAATTTTTGTCTCGTGCCAAAAAGGAGGGAGTTATTTTTCCCGCCGCGCCGTAACGTTTCCCCGGGTCTGACGTGGCAGGAATCCGATATATGTGGGTGGAGAGCAAGAGCAACATCCTCAAAAGCCCACCCGCCCCCCCGGGATAAAAAATGGGCAAAAAGCCACATGAAACATTGAAACTTAACCTAAAATACATAAAAACAAAATTGAGAACGAATGATGGGAAACGAACCAGAGCGAGGCGAGATGGACAGTCGACGCCGATCCAACCGTCCGTTTCCAACGACCGCTCAACCGCCACCCGCCCGACGCGCGCGCGCCCCCAGGCGACGGCCAGCACGCACCTCTGCAAAAAGCAAAGCGGCAAAAGAGGAAAAGGCGAAAAAGCGGATCCTGCACTGTACTGTCAGTTGAGCGAGTTGAAGTTAGTTCTCGTCTCGTTTCTCTCTCTCTCTCCCCCCCCCACTCGCTCGGCCAGCCGCGGGCGAATCTTCTTCTTCCCCGAGCTTCTAGAAGCTTTTTTAGCGCGCGCTCGCGAGATGGCGGAGCCGAAGCGGGCCTCCGGCACGGTCAAGTGGTTCAGCGCCCTGAAGGGGTTCGGCTTCATCGCCCCCGACGGCGGCGGCGACGACCTCTTCGTCCACCAGACCTCCATCCGCTCCGACGGCTTCCGCACCCTCTTCGAGGGCCAGCTGGTGGAGTTCTCCGTCGAGTTCGCCGAGGACATGCGGACCAAGGCCGCCGATGTGATGATCCTGGACGGATCGCGCCGCGGCGGCGGCGGCGGCGGGGGAGGGAGGGGTTGGTATGGGGGAGGCCGGTTCGGCGGCGGCGGCGGCGGTTACGGGATAGGTGGAGGTGGGCGGAGAGGAGGAGGAGGTTACGGTGGAGGTGGAGGGTACGGCGGCGGTCGTGGCGGAGACGGCGGTGGCGGTGGCGGCGGCGGGGCGTGTTATAGTTGCGGAAGAATGGGGCACCTGGCGCGGGATTGCTACCATGGAGGTGGCCGCGGCGGAGGATACGGTGGAGGATATGGCGGAGGTGGGAGAGGAGGAAGGAGATTCGGAGGTGGCAGAGGATACGGCGGCGGTGGCGGTGGATTCAGTGGCGGTGGTGGCGGAAGGGGGTGTTTCAATTGTGGCGAAGAAGGGCATTTAGCCAGGGATTGCCCTAGTGAGCAGGAATGAGCGCTTCTTTGTTCAATCCGTTTGTTGTGGCTCCAATTTGGGATTTGGGTTAATTCGCTTTGTATATCTGGTGATCTGGTGCTGATGTTCATCGAGTAAAGCTTTCTCTCTTAAATTCCTTCTTTTGATCTTAAATTAATGATTTTACCGTCATTCTTTTACATTGAGATTGCTGATCGAACTGAATTGTCTTCCAGTCAGTTAACTGCATTTTAAGTGCAGACATTCTGAATTTGATGGGAGTTTGGTGGTTGATTGGTTTTCTTGTGCTCATTCTGCATTTAAGTTCGTTTGCTTTTGCTAGACATACACATTTGCCTTCTAATCCCGCACTTTCGCTCTCCCAAGTTCCATTTTCTGCTTTGATGGTGGTGGTGACTCCATTCTTGTCGTCCAAGTTGCAGAAAATTGGCTTCGAGACTGTATTGTCACTTTCAGTTTCTAATGTTGGTGTTTGCTCAATACTTTTTCCAGTGTGAAGAGATGTGAAACTGTTCTGAATATTTTAACGTTCATGTTTTCATATGAAATGGGCCATTACACCCCCCATGTATTATCAACACGTTGAAGTTGTTCTTTTGGAAATTTCTTGACGTTTTCCAATTGTAGAGTGACATGCTTGTTCTCCTTTTACAATTAGAAAACTCTCTGTGAGTTGCCTTTTACTGTCGTGGCATAGAAATCCTTTTCTTTGGTTGTCACCATTGAGGGTCCTATCTCCCATCGTCGCTTTCATGAAGTTGGCTGAAGTTTATCCATTCTGAAAGAAAGAGCGAGGACCAAGTCCATAAAATATGTGGGTGTTTGAGTTCACAGAAACCTTATCTTGTTCTCATTGGCATTGTCTGACAAATTTGACGCTGCGAATCTGCTACTTTATCGCCATGTTATTTTCGGGAAACAATTAGTCATGGGCCTTCTCGATTCACAAGGTTGTGTCTATTTCTTGATCTTATCTTCTACATCTAAAGCTTGCTTTTTCCCCCCTTTTTGGTGGATCCTCTTCCTCTATAGCGGGAAAACTGCCACCTTATATCTTAGTATCTTATGTATGGTCCAGGACTGAATTGGGAACATTTTATTGTTGGAATCTTTGAGCTCAAGGCCTCCTATGCTAATGTTCATTTAACTGAGACATTATACTAAAAAATATTGAACTTCAGAAAAATTGACTCCTTTATGCTCATATGTTTCCCAGGAGATGGTTTTTAGAAGGCATGCATTTGCCGTAAAGGCCATGAGAGAAAGATGTCACTTGACGCCAGTCGATTTGAGAAAACTACTGCTGCATTTATTGCATGACATATCAAATTGCAGAACTTAAATATGGCAACTCATGCTTATGCAAGTGCGAGATTTTTGAACTAGAACTAACATATTAAGTAGATTGGTTGAAACAAAAGAAATATGGATGAAGTTATTTTACAAATTTCTATTTCCCAGGTTCATGCCTTTGCTGAGACCTACCAGGTTGCCACTTGTAGGCTCAGAGCTATCAGTGGCATTCTCACAGCAAGAGGAACTAGTTTTATTTAAGTTCTTTGATCAATTTATTGCTCCTCTTTTACTCTCTCTCTCTCTCTCTCTCTCTCTCTCTCTCTCTCTCTCTCTCTCTCACTCAGAGACCTTGCTGAGTTTTTATAATGTAATGTCCTTTTCCCCTTTCTTGGGTGTGTGTTTGTGGGTGGGTGGGTGGGTGGGTGGGGTGGGAGGTGGTTCAAACAGAATTAGAGAGCTATCTAGAATTAGTTAATTTGTTTCCTCTGAGTGGTCTGCAGCTAGAGCTATCTCTATCATGCACAAGGACGACAAAATGGATATTGTTCGAAAGATTTGCTTCTTGATTTATTTATAATAATTCAGAATTGACATTAGGAGCTTAACTTACCCATAGATAAGACATAGGAGCTTACAAAGGTACACGTTAAAAGATTTTCCTTGACAGGACAGCTTTGCCTGTATTATACTTGCACGTAGCATCATCTCAAGATGGCATCTGCAGTAAGTCGACTAGGATAAAGAGTAGAAGATAATTAATGTTCATTTTTTCTATGGGAGCGCAAGAACCTTCTCTGCCAAGCAACTCATAGTCTAATGAGTAACAGTGTGGCCTTACCAGTTTTTGTTCTGAATGATTATCGCTGTCAGATTCTTCTTCTCTCCTTTTTCAGGGGGGCATATTCACTGCCAAGTAACTCATTGTCTAAAGAATAACTGCCTAATAAGATTTTTCCCAACCCAAAAAAACAGAAGAAGATTATTTCCTCTTTTCTAGTCATAACTACTGTACGCTCTTTCCGAGAGCAATTTCTTAGCGATGGTTTGACCTGTGCTAATAGATTACATCTTCCTTTCTCTTCCAATCAGACAAAGAAACCAAGGCTTTCATTTCTGTATGGCATTGTTGAAGAGACTCTTGAAGGTCCTTAAATGCGTACTTTCTAGCATGTTCCAATTCTCATTCTGTGTTTGTCGATCAGGATGCTAGAAATGTGTGCAGTTCCGCCTTATATTATAGTGAATTTTTGTGTTGCTGCACTGGTTCTCAGTTCAATTATATCAAAGCAAGGTTCATTTCTTTTGGATTAGCGTCCAGAATCTGTACCGGTGGATAGACCAGAATTTGATACAAGATTTGTTTAGCTCTTCAAAAATACCTGTCAACACAGACCAGCATGTTTTGAAGGAATTTTTCAGGAAGTGGATCCAGTATGTGCATTCTCATAATGATGGCCTGGAATTATGCCTAGGGTCTTTCTTTTACTTGGTTTGGTAGATACGAATGCTCGATCCCTTCGGTGAGAGTTGCTGCTGGCCCAATCATTGTGAAATCAGGCAAAATCTGGAAAATGAACCCAGATTGCTCTACGTAATATGTGACTGGGTTCATCTTATGCACTTGCTTTTCCACTTCTCTTTCTCCATGATGGCTTACCTGGCCTTAGTTGCTGATATGAAACCAATTACCGTTTCTGATAAATTGACACCGAAAAATTACATAGCCATCTTTCCTTTTTCTGGAAGAGAATTTACGAGATCGGGGAATACAATCAACAACTCTTTATGGTGAGTTAATCATCCACCCGAACTATGCGGGCTGAAAACTCAAACCTTTCGGAAGACCCGGTCGTGTGTACCTGTTGCAGGATCATATATATGAAATTCATGCGGAATGCCGACACCGTTATCTTCTGTTGGATCCATATCGGAATGTTTGAGGGTGAACTGGTGATCTCCGCGCTTGGTGTTAAGATTGGGGAACATGATGCTTCTGCTGATCTGTGATAGTTGTAAATTTTTTTAGTCCGCATGAAGTCCCAACTCTCTGTTGTGATTTAGTCAGTGAACTGCAAACTTTGGCTATGTCTGTTTCTTCTAGTGAATGTGCTATCACGAATTGAAGTCAGCATATCTATATGGACTGAGTTATCTCAGCAATCTTTTCTTTTCTTGCATGATTTACATGGGTCTGTTTAAACGATCCTTATCGGCCCCTCTTGCAGCGGATGAACAGATTATGATCATGTGTTTGATGAGAATATCCTGCCGATGAGTCTTGCTTAGTGCTCGTGTTAATGCTTAATTAACTTGAGGCTCATGCAGGTTACCAAGTTCTAGGATTCACGAGGAACGAAAGTAAAGATGGAATGTATTATTATGTGCAGATGTATGCTTGCTTGGGCAATTGAAAGAGACGCACTCTTCAGATTCTTTCAAATGCGTAGAATTTCATTGGGCTAAGTCCCTATTGAATGATCTATAAATCAAAAGTTTGGGTTATCCAAACGATCATCACCTTATGCGATTACTCAGAGTACTCCTTTTGAATGCTCGACTCGTATGAAACAAACGGGTCGGGTCATTGTAAGGCTAGTTTTGAAAACTCTTTAGCGGTTTGAGGGATACTTGCTTAATTATTATAATTTTTGTTTAACTTGCTCAGTTCAACCAAATAATAGTTCGTTTCGAAATTGATACAGGACCATCCCGGTCCACGTTTTCGAAATGAGAAGTTGAGTTTGGAGCATAATTATACAACTACTAATACAACGGTCGACTTTTAATACTCTAAATTTACTATGTTTTCCTTTTGTAAAGTGAATCTTTACTTTAGGAGATTAACCCTAACACGTAAGAGTCCTCATAAATCTATAAATCAAATATGATGCGGGCCAACAGTGAATGTACGGGGTTCCAACCTTGAGACCATCTATACTTTATGATATAAAGAATCGATTACTTATGACCGACGGCGGACCGAGAATTCGAGGTTAGGAGGGCGAGATGATTTTATTTTATTGAGAAATCATATATGAGAAAATTCAGAATTTATGGGAATTATGGGCCCGATGTGGTAATTTCGATGATCACTTGTGCCCTGTATGAAAGTTGGAGATTGAACATTGATTTAAGCTTCGTGCCGAGTCTAGACAAACGAGAAAAATTGGTTTGCGATTTGCATGGGCCAAACATTGGGAGTTTGAAAGGAGATGAGACCTGCAGTTGCAGAGTCCAATCCCGTATCTGTACAACCGTGAATTATGGATTTCTGCTCAGACAACTTTTGCAGGCTTAGGGCACGTCACTTAGAAACTTCTATGGAACCAACCCGACCTGACTTTTTTTTTTTTTTTTTTGACAATCCATCGCTTATTTTTTATTTTTGTGATAAGTGTGCTGAAAATCTTAAAATCTATCACGAAAGTGTAATTGAATGCTAAAATTTGTCAAGTTAATGTAATCAAGTTCTTCTATTAACTTCGTCCAACTTCTTAAATGGAAAATGCTAACAAGTTTTACGATTTAATTGTAATAACTTGACAAGTTTTAAGTCTTGATTGTACAGATATACAAGTTTTATGATTTGATTGCCCTTTTCGAAAGTTTATGACTCAATTGCAATTTTATGATAGGTTTTAAGACTTCATTGCACGTTTTGAAAATTTTAAAACTCAATTACACTTTCATGATAAGTTTTAGTATTTCTAATGTGCTTATCTCTTCTATTTTCATCATTTTCTTGATAAAGTTTTGCTCACCAATCTCTCCACTTAGAGATGATTTTTTCAAGAGCATGTCGATTCAAATTCACGATTCCCTATTACAAATCAACAAAATGTTTTTCTGCCCCGCTCTTGCCATTGGATACTTATCCAATTACAAATATATTGCTCTCTTGCAACAAAAAACCACCAGTACTCAAGATCGATGTGACTCGACATCTTTCCCTGCGTGTTTTCTTATCGAAAACTCTCCTTTCATTGTGGGCAATCAAATTTCGGCTCATTCGCCACAGGATGAGATATGAC